TATGAAAAAAGGACTGTAGCTTGATAGTTTCATATTTTAGAGAGACTCTATTCAAAATTTCTGAAATTTTTTAAGGAAGATAGTCTAGCTGAGGCCTTTATGCAGGCAAAGTTTCAGGTCAAAATTCGAAAGTAAAGTTTGGTGGTCAATGTGGGTGTACTATAGAGAAAATTCACTAGAAGCTCGATATCTCCTCCGAAACAAACCAGAAACCCGAACTTCTTTTACCATAGATATAGCTCACTATGGGCTACAGAATGCGGGGAACCCCAGCTGAAAAGCTTTCCTTCACCTGGGAATGTTCCCTTGTTTGTAAATTTTTATTTTCGTAGCATTTAAAATTTTTTTCCTTATCGTTCTGCTCAATGCTCACAACACCCCTATCCAGAATGATTGTTTTTATTCTGATTTTCTTGAAAATGGAAAAAAGGATAACTATATTTAATTCTTAGATGTATAGGTATATCATAGTTTATAAATGATTTAATGTTTTTAAATCTTCTGTTAGATACAAAATATTATGTTTTTCTAGATGATATCGTGGAACAAATTTGCTCATCGATAAACCAAAACCCATCTCAATTCGTTTTAAAAATTCGAGCCGTTTTTCGCCAGGTAAAACAGTTATTCCATTTAGTCCATGGAGACTTCGAAAAATCACTGTTTCTTTCAGCATTAATTCATCCTTTTTTTCATCACTTATACTTTTCAATTGTTCAATAGTACATAATTCATACCAAATTGTAAGACGTCGTTTTGATTCTTTAGGATAAATAACTCGATGAATACCTGGTTTAAGTCGATTCTCTGTTATTCGAGACGCTGCTTCTCCTAACCAAATAACTCCTATATTTGATTCTAATGGTCCATCTATCCATTCATTAGTTATCATATTTTTCAATTGAAGTCCTTCATATGTTGATAAAATACTAATTGATAATAAACCTGGATCATAATGTGGAACACAATTAACTTCTTCAGTAGATTGTCCATTTTCAGGTGGTTGAAAACCGAATTTCTAATTGAAATATGATACAATATCAAGCATCCCAAAATGTTGTTCTTTTAATGGAAGATTTGCTTGTTCGATCAGATTTGATAAAGATGGTTTGTTTTGAAATACATAATGTTGATCAAGAACTTCAATTAAACGTTTTGTAGCAGCATCTAATACTTGTAAAAGATAATTTAAGGGTTGAATCGGTGATATTGGTACTAAACTAATATATGAAAAATCAATAAAATAATTTCCAGTTAATAATTTAATTCCTTCTCTAT